AAATAAATGTATGTAAGACAGGCAAGTCATTAAGATAAAATAAAGGGAAATTCCTCTAAATAGTGATAATGGCTTTAATTATAAAGACTTAGAATTAAGATGTAAATATGTAATATATACATATTATGTAGTATATACATATTATATAGACATTGGTAAATTACAATTCTGTTTCCTTTGAAGAACCTCATAGAATATAACTTTTCCTAGATGAATTATTAATCATAAAAACATGAGTAATAACCAATAAAGACAAATATACTATTAATTTATCTGATAACACTTCATAAGAACTCACTAGTTCTGACATATATGGAGACAAGAGTGTATGTCTTTATGGAATTTTACTTTACTAGGCAAGATGGATTTTTAAAAAAAACACCTAGTTTTCCTATAATTCACAATAAAGGTAAAATTTATAAATTAGTGACTCATTAGATCATGATTAAGATTGGAAAAGAAAACAAATGATTTAAGATGAAGGGATTGAAGAATGCTAAGTAGTAGACATGGGTGACACTTGGAATATATATTAAATAGAATGATTAGGATAATCTTTGAAAAAATAGATTTTGACAAAGATTTTCAGAATCTAAGGCAGTATGTCAAGTGGATATATGGGAGATGAACCTACCTGCTAGAGGAAATAGAGCAAAAGCCAAAAGCAAAAATGTGACTTGTTTATTTGAGGTAGAATGAGGTAACTGGAGTGACTAGAGAAGAATTTAAAAATATAATTGATTTACACCTTTGCTATTTCCTTTAAAAAATTTGAAAAGGCATTGTCTTAATTTTTACTATTAAATGCATTTGAAAAGCACAGTTTTATTCTCAAGCTTTCATACATGGTAAGGACCAATTAATTAATAATGTTCATAGTTAAAAACTATTTTCATAAAACAAAAATCTAAAAAGTAAATTTTCTTTACTTTTAAAATCAATTCCTCTTTCATTGCATCCCACTGCCTTCAAAATCCATGTGTGATTCCCATTCTGTGTAAATGTAATTAGTAGTTATAATAAAACATGGAATATTTATAAGATCAACATAACATAACAGACCAAAAAAAATTGAAACTAGAAAGAACAATATTCTTCTTAAGATATCTCTCTTTAATAAATGTTTTTTACTAACCATGGAATGAATTCACATGGTCTTCTCAAAAGCTAGTGTTTTTAAGAATCCACAAAATGGTGTAGAGATAGAAAGTATTTGACATAATTTACAAAAAGAGTGGTTTATAAAAGGCTTTACCTTTTAGTTAATAACATTTTTATTGTAGAATAAAATAAATTATGTCAAATTAGAAAATAACTCATTCTTAAACTAAACATGTAGAAAGCATTTCATTTGCTCCCAAAACACTGAGTGCCATAGTTTTGCAAGATAGCTATATTCACAAAATCTATCTTCTTTCTAATAATAACACTAAATTCCTTCTAGTTACAATAATAGCCTGTTTGATTCTTCCTTTCATCAAAGATTATTTTTATGTATATATGATGGGAAATGTTAAATAAGCTAACCTCTGCTCCCACCTGAACACTTGAAAGTACTTGTGAAAGCTGTCCACGCATCTAGGTGTCCCTGACAACTCCCAGCCTTCATGTGTCTGCATGAAAAGTCACAGGACACTTGGAATCTTGAGGTGGAGGCAAGTTCAGTCAAAACATATCAGTGCAGTCCTGAGTGTAAATGTGAAAAACAGCAGAGCATATACATTACAATGAGGACAATTTTAACAAAGAGATTCCCTTCTCCCTCCTTTTTAGAATAAACACATATAAACTGTAAGAAAGAGCTAATTGTAACTATATTAAAAAATAGTTAATATACACACATAAGCACACTGACACATACTCTTAGAAGAGAATTAGCAAAGGTAAGCTCTTCTTTTTCACATTGTCAGAAAATCTCCCTTATTAAGCAAATCTGCTTATAATGTTCATGTTCTAAGTACATTCTTAACTCAGCTTCAGGTTTTAGAACTTAACTGGTGGTGTTGCATATACCAGTAGTTTGATATTTCTGTGTAATGTTGCATTTTATGAATATACCAAAACATACTGAAATGGTGCAAAAGAATACTTAACAGTGCTAAACAGGGTCAAAGGACTCTGCCAAAGCCAGTGGGTTCTCAGCTGCGTGCATTGCGTGAAACTCCTCATACTCAGGGAAAAGGATTTTCTAAGGCCACAAGAGGCCAGCTGTCTCACCCCAGATAATGCCCAGTGTCCCAAAGTCCCAAACACAGGCCACTTGTGGAAGATGAGGTGACAATGCAGCAACCTGAAGACTGGACTGGACAAGGGACCAGATGGCAATAGACTCAACAGCACCAGGAGGTGGTGCCAGAGAACCAGAGGCTGCGGACAGCTCTGTGAGTCACTGTACCAAACCCAAGAGTGCTGCTAGCAGGTGATGTCAGTGGCAGGGACAGAGACATGTACAGTGGCCAGGTCTCTGCACAGATCTAAGGAGATCTGGAGGTCTGGAAGTTATCAAAAGGACTACAGAGGTGGACCATGGAGGTTGACTGCTCAATGCACCTTTCTCTTCAGAGGCTGGGAGCAGAATCCTTCTTTGAAGGTGGTCAGATGAACACTTCCTCTTCGATGAATGATTGACTCAAGCAGACTCTTGCTCTGCCTTATAGTCTCTTCAGGGTCCCCCACCCTACAAGCCAGATTGAACCATTTTCAATCCTATTATTAAGCTTATACCTATTATTAAGACCTTGGTTTCTAAATATCATTTACCAATAAAGGAAACCAAATTTTCTTAGAAAAATGAGAAATTCTAGGAATGCAGTAAAGAAAACACAAGATAACCCTAAAGCATTTGGCAGTATCAATGAGTAAGAAAGAATGAAAAAGGAGCAAAAGAATCAAGGATCTTAGAGAAAGTTGAGAGCAAATTGAAGCAGTTCCCCAATGACCAAAACTGCATTAATTTTGGGTCTCCTTTATAAAGACCCAGTAACGTTCATAAGGGCTGTGTTCTGCTAATCATCTCCATAAGCCCCACATTGGAGAGTAAAGTTTAAATTTATGAATTTGGAGATGAACCCTAAATTCAGTTTATTACAGGTGGTGAAAATAGGGAATAAAAAGAAACTAACATCAAATTCAACATATGTGTTACCGGTAGGGTCCTTTTTGGACTTATACAAGATCGGGAAAAAAAATTTTTTTAAATATACAGAGATAATTATCATAAAAGTTACCAGTCCTGAGGGTGAGGTGTGTGGTTGAAAGTACACAAGAGGAACTTCTGGACAGGTAATAAGTTCCTTCCCAACCTAGGTGATGATCACATGGTCACTGATTTTACAGTTAATTGATTTAATTTTATGTGTTGCCATTAATATGTTACTTTTCATAACTCTATAAAGGAAAATACATAGATATATTTGTTTTAGGAAACTCAGATCCAAACGAATATTTCAAAATCAATAATACTATTCCAAATTAACATTTGTAAAATTAATAAGTAGAAGAAATTTTGGTTAAGCTATAAGTAACAAAGTGCTTAGTAAATAAAATGGCATTTGACTTGAAATTTGAAAATTAGGTATGGAATAGTCTTCATGAATGTGAAACACATTTTTCCTTATATTTTGTAATGCAGAGTCTTAAATTTATATGTGAAACTAGTAATAGCAGCTTGGCTCTCCATCTAGTCTAAATATTCAAAATTACTGCCAGCCTGAGAGACTTGATATAATATATTCAGACTAAGCTGATACACAAAAAAAGTGAGCACCAATTATAGGGGCACAATACAAATCATAGGGGAGGTTGAACAAGAAGTAATACAATATTATAAGTTTCACTTTTGCCTCACTTCCAATAGTTTATTATTCAGGAAAATCATAATCCCAGAAAAATTATACCCTCTCTGTGGCTAACTTCAACAGTCCAAGTAAAATATTTTAGTCCTTCATGGACTAGGTTATATAGCTAAAAAGAGACTAGTCACTAAATAGATCACTTTAAATCCCTAGGCAGACTTAACTCTTTCATTTGTCCATTGTGGAGCTTTTATTAATTATTTTTTATAGTTTTATCACATCTCCTGCCATTCACACTTTTCCAGCTGCTTCCTGGCTGTAGGGTTTAAATAAAACCAAACCATGAGAAGTTATCCCGAATTTTTCTCTTAGCATTTTAGTAAAATTTTCTCAAAATCTTTTTTTATACTCTAGAGTCCATTTCACAGATTTTTTCCCACTTAATTTTTTTTTTCTGTAATACCGCTCTTTCTTCATAGTTTAAAATCTTAAATTATGACTGGAAGGGGTACACGCCCTGTTACATATCCTTGCATCTTGACAGCTCATTCCACACTACTTGCAGTATCTAAAACAAAGGAGAAGGGCCTCCCCGGTGGCGCAGCGGTTGAGCGCTGGGTTGCGAAGCTGCCCGCAGCCTCTGCGGCGCCGGTTCGATCCCCGGCTGCTCCCCGGCCACCGGAAGAGGGTCCCACATGGCGCGCAGACCTCTCCTGCCGCCCGCTGCTCCCCTCAGCAGTGTACTTCTGTCCTTCTGCCTGCTCTGCTCCCCGCTCTGGCTCTGGTGAATTCTCTCACCCTCCCGCGCTTCTGACTGTACCCAGTGCATGTATAAACAAAAAAAAAAAAAAAAAAAACAAATAAAGAAAGAAAACATGCCTCTATAAAAAAAAAATAAAACAAAGGAGAAGTGGACTATAGACTCCTTTCCCAACTCCTGGAGTCTGATCTCAATGTGATGGAGTCATGCTAAGTAACTGATTCTCCACTGGACATCTGCTTTAGTTGATCTATGAGTCTATCTAGTCACTATAATTTTACTTAAAAAAAAAAAAAAAAACCTCTTTCAATATATCCTCCTTTCAATACTAGAATTTTTCGTGTTTTGCTTGTGTTCCATAGAACAATCTTCAAGTACATGAGGAATTTATTTCTTCATAATGGTTTCTTCAGTCCATAGTTCCAGAATCCCAACCATGTCTACAATTGACCTGAGGCCATTTTAGTATCTCTCAGTATTCCTCAGTGCCTTGGGTGATAAGAGTTGCAGACCATGGGTCACATCAGTTTGACTTCAAACAAGGGCCAAAAGACCAATTTGCCTGAGGTAGACACCCTATTTGCTTAGTTCTAGTCATAAGCCTGGAGAAGGGACAGCCAGACATAGTTCAGTGGAAATCACATCCATAGACATGTGATTGGTATTGAGAAGTGTCAGAGAGAGTGGTTTTTCTGAGAATGTGGGAGAGAACCTTGCTTATAGTCATTTAAGTAAATATTTGCTACTAAAAATAATATATAAAGTTTTAAAAATCCTTCTGAAGTTTGTTCCTGTTAAATATTGAATACTACATTCTCTTACTTTAATAATTATAAATTTTGCATAATATTACTCTCTCTTTACAAAAGAAAATACTCTCATTTTTAGTTACATGAAATGCAATTTTGAATTTCAGACAAAATTCTATACTAAAGAATTAAGTACTCAGTTTTCATAGCAATCATCTGTATTTAGATTTTCTGTCTTGTTCAAAATAAAATTTTGTATGAATTCTGAGGCAGATAGTTCAACTGTGGCTTCTGTGGGAAATTAATATTATCTGTAATTGGAAACTATGTTGAAATGAAATCACCAGTGAATGGCACCACAAATGCTATTATTGACCTGGAAAATTACTATCTAAATAAAAATTAAAATCCATGTTTTAGGCCAATATTATTTCCTTGCCTCAAGTTAATTTCCTCTATACCACCTTTCCCTCTGATGACAGCCGCAAGCATTTTGACTAACCACAGCATATTACTGCTCAGATCCACAAATAGCACAAGGCATACTCCTACAGAAAAATCCCTAAAGATGTCTCTGCTCTCATTCCAGGCTGAAATATTTTTCTCAGGATGATAAACAGATAAGGCAATTAACCCCACTGGCACTCTGGTACTTATAAAAAAGATACTTCAGTGTAAATATCTATAGCAGTATTTACCCTATTTAGCACTCGGATCCTATTTGAATGTTCAATAAATATTGCAAAGAAAAAAAATTGCAATGAAAAGGACATAGTTGTAAAATAGTGATGTTGTGAGGAAAAAATAACAATAATTGTACCTAAGTAGGTATTTTGAAATCATGTGTGTTTGCTGACAAATCAAATTTCTTAAATGTTAGTCCAAGATCTAGACTAGTCTCTGGGATCTTACAGATTTATGAAGGAACTTGCCATCTTGTCAGGTTTCTTAAATTCATCCCTGTACAGTTATTTATATTCCATTATAATTGCAGAATCCACATTTTTTTAAATAAAAAACCTATAACTTTTAGAAATTAAACATCTAAGCAGTCGACTCCTAATAGAAGAGCCGAGATTCCAGATCTGGTCTACCCGAGTGCAAGATCTGTAATTTTTCCATTTGTTCTTGCTCTATTTCTTATTCATATAAATTTTCTATAGGCACATAATCCTCATTTCCTAAATCTATAAAAACTACCTTTTTTGGTGTTCTCAAGCAATCAATGAAGCAGTATGAGGATACAGATATAGAAATCATATGGAAGGCATTGTAATTGTTGAGTTAGAAGTAATGGATTTCTAGAATAGAGAAATGTCATTAATATGGCCAAAGAAGAAGAAATCTAAGTGATATATATCCTGTTAAAGAATACATAATCTTACTGTCGCTTACTATCATCTATGCATCTCTCATCTGTAAAATAGGAATAGTAGTTTTGTCAGGAGGATAACTTCATAAAGCACATAGAATAGTGTGAATAAACTATCATCTATGCATCTCTCTATCTAACTACCAAATAAATGTAAAACCTTTACATATTTATTGTACATAAGGCTTGCGCATACATTTATATCTATGTATGTATAAGGTTTGCAAATATGTATTTATATATGTATAGATGCCTTTACCTTAGTAACCTAATGTTTTGTTGTTTTTTTGGGTTTTTTTTTTTTTTTTGGAAATGCAATAACTGTATCACATAGTTAGGGTTAGTCTTTTGGAGTAAAGCTTTCATTGAGCTAAACAGCGAATTCTATGTAGTTTAGCTATAGACAAAAGATCAGAGGCATAGTTGAGCAATTCATATATTCATTAGCCAGTCTATGTGTTTCTTTCTAGAATGTAAGCTTTCAATGTCCAACATTCAATGAAGGAATAAATGAATGGAGGAAAAATTGTAATGGCAGCACGTAAAAGGAAGATGTAATCCCTCAGAAAAGGCTCCTGGAGGAAAAGATAAGTAACAGGAGACTTGAAGGAGAAGTAAGTGTTAGTCAGGGAGTAAGGATGTGTTTGAGAATCTAAATCCAATAATAGAACATTCTCCAGAGATATATCATGAGAGGACAGAGGTGGCCAGATGTGTACAGAGGACAGATGTGTACAGAGGACAGATATGTACAAAGAAGTACCAAAAACAGTCCAGAACAAGAGATTTGTCAACATGGGAATAGACTCGAAATGAGGAAAAAGGTCATTTGATCTATTTTCGTTTATTCGTAGCTACTCCCACTGTGTAGTTCTCACTATTTCTATGTGCTTTAAAAATTCATCCTCCTGACAAAATTACTATTCGCATTTTACAGAGGAGAAACTGAGACACAAAGAAGTTAAATAACTTACTCAAGGCCATATTAGAAGTGGCAGAGCCAGAATCCAAATCCAGGCAGCTCATCTGCACGGCCTATTTTCTTAATCCCATCACCCTGCTGACTCTTGTTGATGGACAAAGATGATCAGATTTGAACTCTAAAGGTAGGAAAGGCATGGGTATGTCCAGACTCCTAGTGACTGTATTTGTTAAAATTAAACTTGTTAAGGAAAAATGAGTATTTTTGTTCTACAGTCTAGAGCACCTTTTCTGGTCATTGTTGTGTATCTTCTGCAAACAAGAAACTGCATTCCTAGAGATTCCTTTTCCTTTTAATCCTTCACACAATCTTTCAGGTTTCTCAAGTAAATTGAAATTTCCTGTAGGGTTTGTTTGTTTGAATATTTATAGTCTTCTCTAACTTTAAGTTATTGCCCTGTGTAATGGCTAATTTTATGTGCCCATTGTATGGAGCCCTGGTACCTGAATACCATTTCCGTGAGGGTGATTATGACCAAGATTTACATTTGAATTGGTGCACTTGGAATAAAGCAGATTGCTCTTCCCAGTGTGGATGAGCTTCTTTTGATCAACCCAAGGCCTGAATAGATTTCACTTCCCTTGGGCAAGAGGAAAGTGTCCATCAGGCTCTCTCCTGATTTCATCTGCCACATAAGCTGCTCCTTAATTCTTTAAGAGAGTGACTTTGAACTGCAATATTGATTCTCCTGTGTACTCTACCTGCCAGTCAACCCTGAAGATTTTGGTCTTCCAGTCACCATAACCACAAGAGCCAACTCCTTAAAAGAAATCTCATAGATGTACACACACACACACACACACACACACACACACACACACTCTATTGGTTCTGTTTCTCTGAAAAGCCCTGACTAATACACCCAGATTTCTCATTTTTGACTCCATTGTTTTTAAAATATTCCTCATGTTCTTTGGTAATGTTGAAGTCTCTCCTGCCCAAGGAAAGCAATCAAGGAAAAAATGCCCAACTGCTCTTTTCTGCCAACTTGGATGGGAACATTATAAAATTGACAAAATGAAAGACATATTATCCTGTAGCAGCAGAGAAAAGGACATGTATGATGGTTTCATCCTTCCTATTGTTTTCAAAACAAGCTAGCAAGATTCTAAGTGACCATTTTCTTTTTAATGCTAAGAAATGTGTCTAGTATTGTTTTCAAATTTTTTTTGTTGTCGTTTGGAAGTAGCATTGGCATAAAAATGTATAAGGAAGATTACTGTCAGAGACAGTCTTGTTCCGAGGCAAACAAGAGCTACCCTCTCAACACCTACACATTTTATCTCCATTAACTTGAAAGGCAGATCATCACTTATTGTTATCATCGGGAAAATATGGATAGCACAGTCTATGTAAATTGTCTGCATAATTTCTTACAACTGTTATTGATTATAATTCTATCATTAAATCAAATTAAAAGTTTAATTTAAAAAAGGTTTAGTGATAGAGATTTTAGGTCTACCGATTTCTATGGTCTCACACTTTTAAAACACTGTAAGGGGCGGCAGTTCTTTGTTCTGTTTCTGTATGGATTACATTTGTTTTTAATCAACAACATTTTAATTTTTTTTTTTATTTTCTGATGGTGTGATGATAGTTTTCTAGCATTTTTTATAGCTATTCCTTAAAGTTAAGTCCATTATCAGGAAAGTGTAAAACTTTATGATTTAATGGTATGTGTTCTAGAAATTTTATGGTAAGGAGTTATCTTCCTATTGAGTTTAGAGAGTTCTTTGTACATTCTAGAGAGCAGACTTTAGTCAAATATGTGTGTTTTGCAATTATTTTATCCCAATGTATAGCTGATCTTTTCATACTTCTAGAAAGATTTTTCCAAAGCAAAAACTTAATTTGCTTTGAATTTTAATAATCTTTCCTTCTATTGATTGTTCTTTTGGTTTCATGCTTAAGAGCTCTTTGTCTGTTCCTAAATCTCGGAGATTTTCTCCTATGTCATTTCCTAAAAAGTTTTATGGTTTTGTGATTTACACTTAAGTCGGTGATCCATTATGAATTGGGCTGTGATGTTACAGGCACCACCAGACCTTTTCTAACATGCATGTAGCTGGGGCTACATTTTACTTTTTGTTGTTGTTTGTAAGTTTCCTGGACCTTTGACTAAAAATAGAAGGCTCTTTGGGAGAATATTTTGTCTCTGCTTGTTGGCATATCTGGATTTGTTACAGGGCAACCCTATTGAGGACATCCTTTCCCCCTAACAGATTCTTGGCTTCTTTAGCTCCATGTCTGGAATATGTGAAGTCAAAAGAAAATCCCCAGAATTTAACACCATGTCATTCATCAAATCCCAAAGTCTCTAGTCTGCTCATATTCTTCACCTATAGATTCTTCTTCTGCTTGTTTAATATACAATGACCATAATACTAAATTGTAAGAACATAGAAAATTGTGTCTACTACCTCTTCCCAGAAGTACAAGTCCTCACTTAAATTGAATTTGCATCTGTTCCTTCATTTCTTATAATATATAGAAATACAACTTTAGCTGAGAGTTTGTTGTGAGAATTGAGTTTATATATATAAAAACTCATATATATATATATATATATATATATAAAGAGCTATAAAAATGTATGGTATATAACAAACTCTCAATATAAGATTTAGTAATTACTATGTTTCACTTATGAATCCCACCCAGGTAACTAAATGGGATTACATATTCCAGCTCTGCATATTATTTAATTCACAACACATAAACACACATATACACACTATTCAAAATAAACTATAATAGATTTAAAATAATAAATGAATGTGGTCCTGAAAATCACTGAAACATTTTCTTTTTTTCAATATGTATTTTTTATCTCTCACTATAAGTTCTACAAGTAAAATAAGTAATTGAATTTCCCTAGGTCTATTACATACGAAGTCATAATACAAGTATATGTTATTTGATGACTGAGTAGATGTTTCAGAATCCTGTATGGACTCTTACTGCAAATCTTTTCAAAAAATGTATAAAGGAGCAACTTTAATGACTACTTTCTCTTTCCTTTTCCCTTCTTGTATTTCTCTTTTGTTTTCTTCTCTTCCCTTCCTCAACAAATTAGTCATAAAGACTTTAGTAGAGTCAAGCATTGTATGCATCTGAGTTTAGGAGAATAAATGTCGCCTAGACTGTTTTTTTTCAAGCCAGCTTTAAATGAGGAAGTGGGATGGCCTAGCACAAGAATCAGAGCCAAGAGATGTGGAAACTGTCTCATGGAACTATCATTGATGGAGGATAAGAATAGAAAAACTGGAAAGGAGGAGCCATAAGATCAGAAGCCTGGCTCACACAATGCCAAGAGCTGGAGGCAGGGGTAGAAGGGATTAACATAGCCTTTAACCCAATTATAGGAACTAAGATCCTTAGGCACCAATGCCTAGATCACAAAGCACAAGACCCAAGCAGATATCAGACTACTGTATGATATGGAGATTGAGGGCCATTGTTGAAATCTTGCCCCTTTCAAATTCTACATTGTTATTCAAAGTCAACAACAAACAAACCACTCCATGAAGGAGTGAGGCTATGCCAAAGAGAAGAAGACTACATCAGTGCAATCTCTGCAGTGGCACAGGGCAGCAGTCCTTCTGCCCACCTGTGCCTGTGTAGGTGCTCCTTTTCCCCAACTCTCTGTCCCTCTGGAGGGCAGCAGCCTACCTGCCTGCCCGTGACCTGTACCAGGCTGGGACTTCTTTTCACTGACCTCCCTTAACAGAGGCAGCTCTCCTCAAGGCTGCCCACCTGCGACAAAGCAGGCCTCTCTCTCTTAGTAAACCTGTCCCTTTCGGGGCAGCGCTTTCTGCCCACTTGTGTCCATGCAAGTGCCCTTTATTCTTGGCTCCCTTTTATAATAAACCTGCCCTTTTGGATATAGCTAGCATCTCTGTATCTTGGAGAAACTCGCCTGGGAACTCACCGGTGCTGGTAAAAGGGGGGTGCTGATGAAACCTTTCCCAGAGTAAACCCAAGGACTCCATTCTCCAAACCCAACAACTCCAAAAATGACATCATCATGATTTATAACTATTTATAACATTCAGATGCCCAAAAGATATATTTATATATATTTGGTCTTTTTCCACTCTTCTTGGCAGAAGCTCCCAAAAGCCTTGAAATTTACTAACTGTTGAGAGTGATAAAAATGTCTCCTCTTATGTTAATGAAAAATAACATTGGGGAAAAAAACAAAGCATGAAACCTGGTTGCCAGGAAGTCAACATGAACATGAAGTTGTTTTTTGGCGCTGTCGGGTTTGGCGTCCGGGGTTCTTAGGTTCACTCTGGAAAAGGTTTCACCAGAGTGCCCCTTTCAGCAGCACGCAGTGAGTTTCCGAGGTGAGTTTCTCCATGAATCAGAGACATTTGTTATATCCAAAAGGGCAGGTTTATTACAAAAGGGAGAGAAGAATGAAGGATACTTGTAGAGACACAAGTAGACAGGAAGAGCTGCCCCGGAAAGGGACAGGTTTGCTAAGAGAGAGGCCTGGATGGTCGCAGGCAGATGGCCTTTAGAGAGAGCTGCCTCTGCTGAGGGAGGCGGGTAAGAGAACTAGCCAATCATAGAGAGACTGATGGAACTTCAGATTAGGGAAAGAAGGTATATATTCCCTGAGGCATGACTCCACTTCGGTTTCCTTGACCCTCCCTGGCTGGGTGTCCCACTTTATTTCTGTCCTTTTTCTCCTTGATAAACTTTTTCTTTCTCTAAACACATTTGCCTCTTTTCACTTGCTTGCCTGAGTGTCAGCGAAGTTCCTGCTGTGGCTTTGTGACAACCAACCCATGGTGGTCTAGTGGCTGGGACTCAGCACTGCCTTTGCAGCCTGGGATCCATTCCTGGCTGGGAGACTAGGCCTGAAAACCTGAAATTGTGGTATCAATGAAATCACAACTCAGAAGGATATTTACATATGAGGTGGTAACCTGGTATACGGTGAGAACTAAAGAGACAAGGACATATATGGATCAAGGCAGAGATAAGAATTTGGTCCTCAACAAATCATTTGGAGGGCTCTTCAAAGAAGTAAATACAGGGATCCAGGTTTCTTGTATTCTAAGATATATTTAATTAAAGAGCCAACTTATTTCTTCTTCAAAAATTTATTCCAAA